TTCAATATGCTGTAAATCTTTGGAAAACCAGGTCCTACTTCTGTTTTCTTATGTCTACCTCTCTCCATCTTCTTTACCCCCTTCCTCTCCTCAGGTTACCTGTTGTTAATGACATAGTACAGAAAACAATCACAACTAGTCTTTTAAACATCACAGTTTCATACCCCTAAACATCCTCTAAACTCTCTAAGTTGTTACATCATTTTATCTGGATGTGGGGCAAAAGAAGTCACTTGATAATTATGATAAAGGGTGGCTGATGCTTGATTTTCTAAGCAGCAGACTTTTCCTGGCTTCCTTTCCTTTACAGACACCCATTTCTATTCTGGAGCACCAGACCCTCAACTTTCCCTATGTTCTAGAACACTCTCTCTCTCTCTCTCTCTCTCTCTCTCTCTCTCTCTCTCTCTCTCTCTCTCTCTCTCTCTCTCTCTCTCTCTCTCCCTCTCTCCCTCCCTCTCTCCCTCCCTCTCTCCCTCCCTCTCTCCCTCCCTCTCTCCCTCCCTCTCTCTCCCTCTCTCTCCTCCCCCCCTCTCTGTCTCTCTTTCTTTCTCTCGACGCTAGGACTTCAAGCTTGCTAGCACAGCTTTATATGAACATTTACCTGTTGTTGTCACTGCTAACCTGTCTCTGTCCTAACAAAAGAGCCTTCCAGACAGTGTCAATCTTTTTTTTTGCAAATCTCTATCAACATAGTACCTTGTACATACATGGGGAAAGAAAGAATACAAAATGAGTTGACCTGCAATACTTAATCAAAATTTACTTTGGAGGCTGGCTCCCCACACAGTGTATTTTTTAAGTAAATTTATTTATTTTGTTTGTTTGTTTGTTTGTTTGTTTATTTTACATCCCAGCCACAGTTTTCCCTTCTTCCTCTCTTCCCAGTGCCACCCCACCCCCACCCCTGTTCTCATCCCTCAATCCACCCCTCCTCTATTTCTGTTTAGGAAAGGGTAGGTCTCCCATGAATATCAACAAAATATGACTTATCAAGTTGAGGTATCAAGCATGTATCAAGACTGGGCAAGGCGACTCAGTATGAGGAGTAAGGCCACACAGTGTATTTCACAAACTGATATAATACACTTTCTTTCAGTTAAGTCTACTGAAATAATCTGAGTCAATGTTTTTGTAAAATCCTTTTCCTTATCTTCAACTGAGACAGAGTTAATGTGAATGAGTCATCATTGAAAAGCTGGGTTTTTGTTGTTGTAGGCATATTGCCTCATACCTGTTAGGGAAACCTAAATCAGATCTATAGAGAAATCTAAATAAACTTTAACAAAGTACATTTCATTTTTATTTACCTCAGAGACAAACTTATCAAGGTTAGTACATGCTTATATTGCCAAATAAAGATTATGAACAATTTTCTCCTTATGTTCTCATTTCAAGTCCCATACATTGATTCTTATTTTCCTAGTGATATACATATATTATAAAATCAAGGGTTTGTTCTTACAGGTGAACTATATGTCACCTCTTGTTTGAGTCACATTATCTTTAGACCCTTCAAATAGACTCCAAGTTGTATATACTTCCATACATCTAGTACAAACTATTCTTGGTTAACAATGAGCTTGATGGCATTCCTTAAGCCACAAAAGGCAAAAAATATGCCAGAGAGCAAGTACTCTAGCCTTGTTTATAATAAAATTATAAAATACCTTTCATTTGAACAAAGTAATGAGTATCATAGCACTTTTCTGAGTTTAGCTAAGAACCATCTAAATATATAATACCTAGTTTCAAAATTCCCCAAATAAGAACCCAAATACAAATACAATGTTGACACCCAAAACCCTGCATTCTGCAACTTCTCTCATAGGATAAACATTCAAAGGAGGAAGTGAAGGCCTGGTTCATAGCTGCCTTTCCATTTTATTCAAAGATGTGCTTGCTCCTTCCTGAGTTAGATCCAGGTGCCTACACTCACTCACATCCATGATCTCCAAATTGTCACACTGCCCCCATCAAGTGCCATGGAATTTGAGTAAAAAGTACAAGATGAGAACTCACTCCACGGGAAGTTTAGAAGAGTGTTCAGAGGGGGCTGCAGAGAAGTGTCAGTAAAAAATGCTTACCAGTGCACATATGAGAACCTATTTTTGGATACCAAGAACCCACACTTAAAAAAAATCCAAGGTAGCTGTGTGTGTGTGTGTGTGTGTGTGTGTGTGTGTGTGTGTGTGTGTGTATTGGGAATATAATTCCAGTGTTGGGAAAGAGGAGACAGGAAGAAACCTGGGGTGTAACGACCAGCTGGTCTACCTAAATCCAGGAGCTCCTTGTCTCAAAACTTAAGGTGTAGAGTAATCAAGAAAGACTTCAACATCAACCTCTGGCCTAATTAAACACACACACACACACACACACACACACACACACACACAAAAGCTGATGAACAATGAACAATGAACAATGAAGTCTGTCTGGGTAGAGTCTCCCTGAACCCATTAGGATTGGCCTCACATCATGAACACTCTAGGCTAGATAACAGAAAGAACAGATGGAATTAAACTTCTATTCTTAAAAGACAATAAAGTGAGAGAAGGAAACAAATGGTGGCTTCTTAACCTTATCAGTGAAGCCAGCTTCTGCCTAAAATGCCACCCACCCTGCATTGATGAGCATCGGACTTTCTTACAAAAACTGTCATTGTCCAAAATCCTGTAAATGGGCCATCCCTGCAGCCACAACTCAAAGTCTTACATCTTTCCCTTTGATTCGAAAACAGAAACATGGCTCTTCTATCATAACCATAAACCGCCCACACACAACACAGTGTTTCAATCAATGTTAAATGATACAAGATGCTCCATTTCAATGTAATGGATTACTTAATGAAGCCCATCACTTAACAAAGCAACTGAGGAAAAATTGGTACAAAACAACTAAGTTTGCCCCCAAACAAACTGTCTTGTGAGGTGAATGTCTTTGGAAATGGGAATGGTTGGGAATTGGACCAAAGAAATAAATTTGAACAGTAAACCTTATATACCTTCTTAGTGCTGAAGTTTGCACATGTCTTAGTATTTGTCTGGAGTTTCTTCCTAGCAGTGTTTTACAATACAGTTTACTATTGTTTTAGAGATAATGTTCACTTTTTCCAAAAGAGTACGTGGGTCAAGACTCTTCGGGATTTTTTTAATTGCACATATATGGATTTCTTTAATCTGAAACTGGGCAGATTACAAAGATGTCTTAATCATTTTGAGGGAACACAATGGTATCTTAAACTTCCATTTTTTTCTTCTGTTATTAATTGACCAAACTGCTATGCAGTGTGTGTGTGTGTGTGTGTGGCGCCCCAGGGACATTCTTAATGAGCACAACTGAACAGGTTTTCCTAATTTATTCATTTAGAAAAAACTTACACACACACAATTTAAAACAATAAAATCTAAAAGACAAACTGGAAAAATGTGGGTTACAGTCACTATCAACTAATAAACAGCCTTTCTCTATGATAAGACCAATGGCTATAATATCATCAGGTGTTTCTTACTTCTGGGTTACTCTTCCAGTTTATTAGTTGTCAAACACTCACTACTGGATAGTAAGTGGACCATGCCCTGCAGGAATACTGATATGAGTAAAACAACCCATTTCTAATCAGTAAAGATGAGAGATGAGCCTAATTAGACATTGAAGCAGCTATCTCAGGAAGAGGAAAGTAGGTCAGAGAAGGCCTACTTCACTGAGAATTATCTAGAAAGATGAACAAAAAGTCACTGATAACAAAATTACATATAATACCACACTAAGCAATGCATGACACAAGTATTACCTCGGGCCTCCCCATCAAAAGAGAAACTGGTACAGGTTCAAAACTTGGGATATAAGCTGAAAAGAATACTGATGGCCATCTCAAAAATGGAAGAATATATGAACAGAAGAGACATTGTTTTTGCATAGTCATAGAAAGAAAATTACTTTTTCCAGTGGAGAATTGTCAAGCCCTTCAGGTGTCATAGAAATCTTTCTGTAAAAGGGCTTGTTCACTGAACAGCTAGCATTGTTTACATGCCTTCCTCTACCAATAAGTATCTCTATGCATCCTTTTTAAAAATAAATAATTTGACTTGATAATATTGAACATCTCAATTACAATAACATTTATTCAGGTGGATGACTTTCAGAAACACCATGGCCAACCAGATAGTGGCCAGTACTACTATAAATCTTGATGAACCCTGTAAGACTCAAAATAGAGCTGTCACTCATGCAGCTTAAATGGATACTCACCATCTAGCCTGTTCTTAACCACCTCAAAAAACTCTAAAAGCCTTGCTTTCTAATTTTCTATTGTCTGCAATTAGAAGCAAAATACAGAACAACTAGGGGAAGCAACTGCTAAAAGCAATAAGAAGTGGTAATCAACATCCTGGCAGAGACAAACAAAGATTCAAAACTATTGTTGATACTTAATACATCTCATTAATTCCTCCAGTAGGCATACCTCAGAGCACAGTTCACCCTCTGTAACAGTGGTTCTCAACCTTCCTAATGCTGTAACTCTTTCATGCAGTTCCTCATATTGTGGTGACCCCCAACCATAAAATTATTTTTGTTGCTACTTCATAACTGTAATTTTGTTACTATTGTCAATCATGATGTAAATATTTTTGGAGATAGAGGTTTGCCAAAGGAGTTGTGACCCACTGGTTGAAAACCTATAGCCATTGTGCTTAACTATCAGAGATCTGTGCAGGATGTTTCACAGTGGCTTTCAAATTATTCCATATCTGTATTAGTATCAGGAGAAATCTCCTTGGTCTTGATAAAGATTTGTATAATTAAAAACATACGATTTCCATTGAAAATTAGGATACCTGGATGACTCAAAGGTGACAATCTTAGAATCATTGCAGATTATGACCACTCCTACTGACCTTAATTGCATGTGCATGTGCATTATGGCTCTTTGTCAATGTCCTGAAGAACAATTCTGCTATTATACCTGTTTCTTTACCTGTTTCTTTCTCTTTTTCTAGCCGGAGGCCACCCCCATCGCCAACTCGCCCCACTATAATCCGTCCACTAGAATCCTCACTGTTAGACTAAATGAAGTGTCTGGCATGGCAATTAATCACTAATGATTTATGCAAAAGCAACATATTCTGTAACCTTTGCAGTCAACCATGAGTAGTCGCATGTATGAACAACCATAGGCAAGTAGCCAGTTTTACTAATGTATTCATCACCCATCTTCATTGCTCATGGTATGCCAGACCTTTGGGGTTTGACTGGAAAGAGCTGCTAACCTATAGAGAGACTTAATATGTTGTACTGACCAAGGTAATTTTGTATAGCAGTCCTATACTTTGGTACCATTTATTTATCCAACATATATTTGAAGAGTTTTTTAAGGTGTCTATAAAGCAACTTATAAGAGTTCTTAGCAGACATAAGAGTGAGCTTAGAGCCACTCAAGCTTCTCCCCACATTCTGTTTAGGACAGCAGAAATTCTGTTGTCTGATATCAATGCCACCACCTACTCCACAATGACTTATTTAGATGTCATTCCCTTCTTTATTTCATAAGACTGCTAGGAAGTCAGGTTTTAAAATTAGGATAAGTTAAAATGGAAGCCTTTCAGGCACATGAGGCAGTTAGCAAAGGGTTTGATCTGGGGAGTGTCTCACAGTGCCAGCGTGCTTTGCTTCATTCTAGAAGCACAAGCAAAAACGGAGTAAGGCCTGATTGTTTTTATTTTTCATTTTTTGGTAATAACAAAAAATCAATCAGTAGATTGGGCTGCTTTCAGAGTTCAAGGAAGAAGCAAAACTATCACCATTCTAAAAGTGTTTTGGGAAATATAATCTATTATCTTACATATTTACCCCTTTGTAGGCTCTGTGAAGGAAGGCTGACATTGAAAATGTATAATTTTACAGTTGATTTTTTTGCATGGGTAACTAACTCCATTTAGTTATTATGATTATTATTTTGGCTGGAGCAAAGTTAAATGTATGTTAATACATGATTCCAATGGTTTACATATAAATTATTATGCAAGAATCTCTTTAAAACAACTTTAATGTCTCTATCCATCCCAGACTCTTAAATCTTGCAGTGTAATGCATTGAAAGTGCAGTCCCTGGTATGGAAACTCAGAGTACCATGGTTTAATAGCACAGCTCACATGTTTACAGATGCCTTGCTCCAGCTTGCTCCCAAAAATACTTTTGCAATATTGAACTTCAAAACAACTTTTCAATTTCTAGGATTTCTAAAATTTACAAGAGCAGTCTAGCCTAGAGGTTAATAGTTCAACCTTAAGGCTAAGTTTTGAACTACCTACAACCAGATGATTAACATGTAGGAAACGAATGGGAATTCTGTCTGATAACTGCTCCCAGACAGCAGAGTGAGCATTCACTGATCCATGGAGTCCCATGACATTATTCCATATTCACAAAAGTAGATCAGATTTTACTAACTGCAGTGTCTGACTTTGAAGGCAGCAAACATGATTTGCATGTGAACTTCACTTTAATTTCCTGTGCAGTTTCTACCCAAAGCAGGCAGCCCTAAAGTATGACATAAAAATTTAGCCATTATTTTAAAAAATCCAAGTTAAATGGCACTGCATTGAACTTATTCTAATGGGCTATATTCCACTTATAATTGACAAAAATTAGAGAATATAATATATACAAAGGGAGTGTTTTCAATCTTTAAGTGACAGAGTATCACCACTCTTAGCTTCTCTCATTTTTCCCATTGGAAAAAAAATTGTGAATGAAACTCACACACAAGATGCACATTGTCATTGAAAACGGTGTCCCAAATAAATGGAAAAACATCAAGCAAAGCTTCATAATCAAACAAGTAATGGATGGTGGGGTCTTCACACGAAACTCCCTCCTCTTAGGGTTTCCTTTGCTTCTTCCTTTGAGTTCTCTAAAATAGGCAGCTAACGAATTAGATGCTTCAGGGTTTGGCTTTGTACTTACTGTGGTTTTGCATCTTGCTGTATTTCAAAAATTTCCTTCTGTTAGAGGAAAATATTGCAGAAAACCACTGGTGTGTTCTCAGATCAGCACAAACCAATGTCAAGGAAAATTGGGGATTTGTCTCTCCAAGTTTCTTCCCACTGATCTTAGACTGTCATAAACAATGGCATTTGTTGTCTTTTGCTTTTGTTTCTTGATCCACAAATGCCCTCTCCCAAGCATCTCCATTTGTCTGGACAGTTTTGTTCTCTTTGCTACTGTGTTATATCTGATGGCACCCAGAAACCCCCACCCCACCCCCAGAATTTCAGCAATGGCATTCCAGGGTATGCTGCAGTTTTAGGGGTTTGCATCCTACTCACAGGAGATGCCAACGTGAGTGGAGCCTGACGTTGTAGAATGTGCAGAGTTTGTGGAGTGGCATGCATATCATCAGGCCTTAAGACGGGAATGTAAGCTAGAAGGGCCTTCCATTTCCCATTCCATTTCTAATCTCTTGTGTAACCTCCAGATTGACAATTCAGATGCTGTCAGCACAATATATGTAGCTCTACCTTGTCTAGCATAACACTAAAACTAATAATGAACCCAGTGTTTTTAGGATTTGAAAAAAATAACTGTACTTGTTTGATAAGTAAATCCAGTTTTACTGTCACGTGCTAAATTTTGCATGCATGTTGGCTAACTGGAATAACCATTTACTCAGTTATGGATGGAATGTGAAACAGTATTGATTTAGAACAAATATATTCCCAAAACTCTTCTACTAAGAAAACCTTCTTGAATATTGCTTTTAGATGTGTTTTATAGCATAGAAGAGCAGTAGGGTCCATTTATTGGCAATTTCACTGTTTGTGCAGATACATACTCATTCTATCCAAAAGCATAAGAAAACAATTCCTGTGATATAAGTATTCTGAATTTAGAATTAAGTAGCCACATAGATTAATTTGTGATTTTTAGACTGTAGCCATAACTCTAAAATATGAAATGGGACCTGATACCAGTATGTGACAAGTGTTGATGTTTTCTGTGTACCCATTTTCTCTGCATGTCTCTAGGAATACACTATATACATAGTAAACATGTGTTTTGTGTCCTTTTTGAGTAAGTAGGTTCAAAAGCACTTGCTAAAATACCATTAAGCATGAATGTGATAAACATGTACATTATATATATATGTATATGTATGAGTATAAATATCAGTGTAAACCTGTGCTCAGTATGTAAAAATATGAATATATTTTTAACTGTGCTAATGCGTGATACATGTTGGGAAGATCTGCCATAACCTGTGATTACCGTAGTTCATTTATCATAACATACATGAGATACACAAGATTTTCTAACTCATACTGTATATATCCTGAGGGGTACAATGCTTATGATAACCAGGATGAGGTAGAGTGATGATAACCAGGACAAGGTAATGTCAATAGTCATCAGTACTGAAACCCACAGCACTGCTACTCAAAGGCATTACCCCTTGGTGATACTCTGATAAAAAGTATAAGATTTGGGAACTTTTCTCTAAGGTCCCTAGTTAGAATTGTGTTATCTGAAGATTGTTGAGTTGACTTTTAAGAAGTTAAGTTGATCTGTATGGTAGTCTGATCTCTATAGTAAAAGTTAAAAGAATACAGAGAGTCAGCAACATAATGAAAGGAATGGATATTCCTGAGCAGAGCTACTATAAAACATACAGGGGACAGGTTATTTAATTCCTTGGAGGTATGTTATCTACTCTTTCAGGTAAACCTTTTGCATTTGACAGACTGTATAATTAAATCGATGGGAATCTCTGTAGGAAGGAGAATACAACCTAAACAGATCTCCAATCTGTCTTAATTCAGTGAGAGATGATTGTGTCTAAGACTCCAGCCATGAGTTTTATGCAGTTTCACCTAGGACTACTAGCTGTGAACTCAAAGTTCCTGTGAATGAAGCCAACTTTAGAGAAATAATGGATAGTTCATCAGATCATTTAGTCTTTTTTAAAGAACTCAATCTGTCTTCTAGATAATAGGCCGCCTATCTAGCTGATATGTTTAAATTATGTGGTGCTCTGTATGTGATATTTTAGCAATATTTTTGAAGTATATATAGTATATGCATTGTTAGTTGTGTATATATAAATACATGTAAGAATATTTGTGTGTGTGAGAGCAAGAGACGGGAACCTCAGAGAACCTCCTGCTTAAGGTCTGTTAGTACTGGTATACTGGTGAGACTTCTCTACCACTGGTCAAGGGCTTCACATGTGGCTCCAGCTCAAGGCATTAATTTCCTTATCACCTTTACTGTTGAATTCCCTAAACTTTACTCATAATATTTTCAAAGTGTACAAAAATCACTCCTCTGCTGCCAATCTGTGGAAATCACTTCTCAGAAACCCCACCACTATGACCTTGTGTCTGATTCCACATGCACTCCTTTGTTTCATGGGCTTCTGTATGTCCTCTTCTCTCCCTGTTCAGAGCCAAACTTCTCATTTACTTTTTTATGAATGATGACTACATAGAAGTCAAATCCTGTCTTCTCTGTTTATTCCTTAATTAACATGAGCCAAAATACTTTCCACTGTCTTTTTTGGCACTTTTGAGATTTCTTAATGCTGGATTAATATGGATTCTGTGAATGGGATTTTTGAAGCAAATTCCTAAAGTCTGTATCATCCTTGAAGGTCATGTACCTATTGTGAAAATGTGAAACTGTATTTCGAACCTGAAATAAATTATTACATTTGAAGGAACCCCCAATTCCTCATTCTTGTATACATTTGAGTCTATGCATTTCAGTTAACACCTGAGAGTAAATTCATATTGCCCCCTTTGCTTAGATTTGTCCAACATAATTAAAGTGGAGAGTGATACCATTTTGCATGTCTATACTTAAGTTATGAGAAAAGGAGATTTTTAGAGCAAAATAGGTAAATCAAAGGGAAGGGGTGGAAGGAGACACTTCCTACTAATTTGAAATAATAGGTTGCAGGATTCTGTCCTCAGACATCTGCATCGTATGACCTTGGCCAAGAAGCAATGTGGCAGCTTACCCCTGGAAAAGAAGTATTTGTGGGAAAATCCAGGAAATGGGAGGAAGGATAGTCTATTTACATGTTAGGTCGACAGAAGACCAACACTGATCACCTGGCCAATACATGTTACCTGATCACAAGCACAAAGGAGGAAATGTACCTGCAATGTGTTCAGTAATAAGAAAATATAAGTGCTCAGTAGGTACAGACAATCCTTTCCCTAATTGTGTTTCCAGATAATAAACACCATCATTATGAGTTTTGTTGATAGCTCCCTAACCACACATGGTTCTAGATTATGCCATCAAAATGTACATTCTAGGCAGTATAAAAAAAGGGAGAAATGTTGGCTTAATTTTCCATGCATGGCCAGGATGTGTAATTATGGGAAAGAAAGCTGGGCAGATTTTTCAGCTGCAATTTCCTTCTCTATACATTTCCCACAAGTGGAGAACTCATGCCTTCAAAGGAAGCAATCTACTGGGAGAGATCATGGATAAGAATCAGGCTGGTCTCTTACATTTTGTTTTAATCACATGATTCTAATGTATGGTAATAATATTCAGAATAATTTCTAATGAAAAATCACAAAAAAATACCTCAAAGGTCAATATTGTCACTCTTTGGCAGCTTTCCATTTGTTTCTCAAACAGCTGTGCCATCACTGTGGCTTGATTTCTTCTCAAGATCCCTATCTTTCTGCCACAACCTTTCAATTGCCCTTTGAGAAATGCATCTGGCATCCGGTTTCACAAGACTCAACCTAACTTCACCCACACTCTTCTACCAATTCTTAATACTGTCACATTTTTATTGGTGCTCTTTCATACTGTGGTGGTGACATAGTAATTAAAATATATGCAAGGGATATTGACTAAAATTACTTACTTAATTCAAAGCCTTCCAAAGTACGTCGCCTGAGATTGTAATGAACTCACACAGAGACCAAGAGTCATTTTATCAGTGCATTTTGGGAGATAAAGGCTATAATTTAAATGTCTTTTACTGAAAGAAAATAAATAAATTACACCCCTTATATCCTTGAAGAGGATGTGAATCTTCAAGAGAGTGCTAGTGTCCACAGGCTTCCAAGACCTCTTTGATTATGTTTCATTCATGCACTACCCCACAGAACTACATAGTATTCTAAGTCGCCTGCTTTAAAAACAATTGCTTTGAGGGTGTTAGGCAAGAGGGGAAAGCCATTGTGTGTGATGATTATTTGAAACTAAATGACACCAACAAAAAGTTGTGGGATGAGTTCAAGTGTAAAAGCAAGATGAAGTCCCAGCTCAGGACAGACATCCAGAGCACTGGTAGCTTTGTGACCACTGTATCTGAGCTCCCTGGAAGAAGATTCCGTAAGAGCAGGAATTTGAAAACAGAAGAGGTGTGCACAGGCACTGATTCTTTCCAAACCTTGGGTGGGACCTCATTGTTTCCTACCTTACTTTCTTTTCTCCCCTTTCAAAAAAAAACTGCTTTGAATAATTTCATTATACTTGTGAGACTATTGTGAATGAAGATAGCCAGGTCCATTTAAAATGAAACTTCACCAAAGAACTGAATGCACCCCAATTAGTCCTGTTATCTTTCTTACCTCACTTTCCCATGCTTCAGGCTCACCCCTCTGCTGTGGGATGGCAAGTTGCCTAAACAGTGGGCAGAGCAAGCAAGCAGCCATTGTTTGGTGAAATTTCACAGGAGAGAGAAAGCCTAGAAAGAAAATCTAAGAGTTCATTCCACAGAAAGGGCACCAATAGAGGGATAGAGCTGAGAGGGTCTAATTCATTGTCACTAATAACCCTTAATAATTTTCTCATCTTTTTCTTTGTATTTGGAAAAACTTATCTGTAGAGTTATTTTTCTGAACATTCAAGAAAATATAACCTGAATATATAATCTTCACTATACTATCTGTGTCTATGAATACCAATTTGTTGGGGTATGAAATTTGTTAACTCACTACGCAAGTACTTTTGTAATTTTTAATGTGTAAAGCCCACATATGTTCAGCACTTGCCTTCAAGCACTCTATAAATATAGAATTCTGACAAGGAAATGGAAAAAAAAGACCTGTCAAGAGCCACAGTAGAACTCGCAGACCCACTGAATGCTTTTACATCAGTGGTGTTTTTCTGGCAACAACAGGACACGGGGTGACTGAAGATGAGAAGGAGCTGTCTGAGGGAATGTCACCATGGTGTTAGAGGCAAACTTTCTTGCTGTCAATGAAATATATTTTGGGACATAATATGTCTGATCCTGTTTCTGAACTGGAACACCAACCTAGCTCCCATGGGAAGGTGTTTTTTGGCATATGCTCACAGAATGTCCCTTCAACACTGTGGGCTTGCTGTTTGGTTTAATGGCTCACCTCCCCACCATGCTGAGGTAATTAAAGTGTTCTAAAACCCCTTCAGAACTCAAAATAGTTTCTGTTTGCTAGGCAGGTGATAAATCTCATTCGGCCTGACAGAAATGTAATTACACTTTCTTCATGAAAACACCAGGGATACCATTACCGGGATCTCTCAAAGCCCAAAGCTTGCATAGCCCCCACAGTTGAATGGTTAGGAACTAAGAACAAGTTTTTCATCATTTAAATAGATGGGAGGCCTCCTTAGCGTAGCCAGATTAAATTAGACTGGAGAAAATTTGGTCTAGGACTTTGGGAAAGGTAACTCAAGAAAAAAACAGTCAGTTTGGTCCCATTAACATCTCACAGAAGATTTAAAAGAGAGAAGGAAGTGTTTGGGTTTTGCTTTTTACAGACCCAACTGTCATCTTCACAAGAAAGTGAGTATGTTGCTGGACATCTGGTTCAAGATGCAGTCCCACAGAGAGGAGGGTTTGTGATGGCCTCACAGAGAGTCAGTTCCCAGTGACTGGGTTAGAAAGAGGGAATTGGCCCTGTCTGATACAAAGTTGTCTCTTGTAGCATGGAGGTTACTGTATCCTCTGGAGATGGAAGTCACCTCCAATTCCAGAGGCTGGTGTCAGGCAGCAACAGGACTCTGAACCCTGAAGCCAAACAAGCCAGGCTAGGGATCAGGGAAACATCCAGAAAACAAGTGTCTGTGTACCCTTGACTTGCTTCCCAGTAAATAAGGATTTTCCATGCTCCTTGCTCTAAGACAGAGGGAATTCCTTAAAATCCTGGGGCCACCCTGGCTGGCTGTTTTTCCTAGACTTGATCCTAGGCTTCCATACTATACAACTATTCACCTCAGATCTATGACTGTAAATTAACCCCTGAGGTCTCTGTGTTGGGATGAAGTTGCTCATTTGATCTTGATACCCTTTAATTTCTTCACCTTGAAAAATATTTCACTAGTCACCGGATAATGTAAGAACTAAGGAGGTAAATGGAAATTTCCATCAACAGAATTCTATAGCAATCCCTTCCCCCACGTGGGGAACATTCACATTATTCATTTAAGTTTTTGGAAATAATTAGGGGTCATAAAATTTGGATTAGAAATCAAATATGCAAATCTAAAAGATATCTTTAATATTGATCCTAATTAACCTAAATTTGATTACAAGGATTTATAATTCTAATGATGCAACATGTTGTTGAATGGGCACCCATGCCTTAGCATGCTGCTGGTACTCTGGGAGAGTCCTAGTGGCTGCTAACTTTGCCATGTGGTCTACTTTCATTTCCCCTGCATGTCTGCCTGGTCTTTGCTTTATTTGGGGTTTTTTGTTTGTTTGTTTGAATTAAACTTTTGTGGGATAATTTTGCATGCTATTATTTGGATTTATTTTATAATTTAAACATTGTTTTCCTCTACATTGTTTTTCTCTTTTATTATCTTGTTTTGTTTTCACTAGGAGACCCCCTCCTGCAGTTCCAGGCCGACCATCCTAAACCCATCCCCCCAACCCTGTCATTCAGTCATTCATCTCCTTTTGTTTCCAACAACATGTCTACCCGTGGTATTTAAAAAACTTTTGCTTGCACTATGTCACATGTATATAAAAACTTTTATTTTTGATCCATCTTTAATTAAAAATAAATTTTATTCTGTATAAAAAAATGCATGTCTTCATTTCCTTTCCTTTAGAAAAATGAGCTGAATTAAAATAATTCATTTAAGCTAATGCTGGATAAAGTTAAACTGCATTTATCTAGCCTTTTCCCCTTCTTTTTTTAAGAAGGGGAAATAGATTTTGTGGTGGACTGGGGGTAGGTGGGGATACAAATAGGAGGGATCAGGCAGGGAGTGGGAGAGATGTAGGAAAGAGTACTAGGAGAAATGACTGGAACAAGGGGGGTGGTATGAGAGGGTATTATAGAAACACAGTGTAATGGAAACTCCCTGAAATCTATAGGAGTAATCCTAGAGATTTCTCCTAGCAATGGGGAATACAGAGTTCTAATTAGCCATTTTTGTAACCAGACAAGGCTCCTAGCAGTAGGACTGGGACATTAACCCAGCCACAAAGTCTTCAAATTACAATCTGTCCTACCTATAAGGCATTTGAGGACAATGGTGGCACAGAACTTGTAGAAGTGTCCAACCCATGATTGGTATAACTTGTGGCCCACACCATTAGAGGGAGCCCACATCTGACACTGACTGAATGACCAGGAACTACATTCAGGTCAGCCCAGAGACCCAAGATAGAACCAAACATGATTGACTCCCCCACCCCCAAAAGTCAATGAAATGATTCCTGATGCTACTCTGCTATACTGATATATTAGT